AGAGAAATGAAGAATGAAATAAAAGTATTCCTGGAATTAAATGAAAAGGACAATACAACATGACAAAAACTCTGGACACACTGAAAGCAGTCCTTAGAGGGAAGTTTATAGCTTTAAGTGCCTAAATAAGTATGCAACCAGCCAAAGTACAGGAACCAGGATAATGGAGAGGAACCAGGGAGGTAAAGGAAAAGAAATTACCTGAAAGAGAAGAACAGTAGGGAACAGGCCTTAATTAGAGAGATATGGATAAAAATTGGGTTAGTTTAAGGGAGGGGGAGGGAAGGGTATACAAGGAACCTAGGGGATAAAGGGAAAGAAGGAGCTGAAGAGAGGTACGACCATAGGAGAAGGGTATTAGGGAGAAAGGGGGAAAATGGGGTCACCTTAAGTGGGAAAATTATGATGGCGGGGTGAGACAATGTGAGAGATAAACAATGCCTAGCTAGTTTTGAAAACCAGAGAGAACCATATTACTCCTACAACTGACTGACAAATTATACATAGCAGATCAAGAAATACATTCTAGGTAAGGTTTATCTGAGAACAACTGGTCTTTGCCCAAGATTTATCTACATGACACACAGTAATTAAAAATACCAGACTAGTGGAACTCACCTTCTTGGATGTTTAACAGACATACTTTGAGGTCTGTAATATTTTGGTCAGAGGGACATAAAGGACAGTTTTTGCTCCTTGCCCTCCTAGGTTGACTACTTCCAGGGGACTATGTGCATCTCTCTAAATGTCCTATAATGGTGGTGGGTCACCTGTCCTCTTGATCACGGAGGCCGAGGAGACCCCACCAGATCGACTTGGACCAGCGTCCAATCTATAAAGAGAAGGGTCAACACAGAGGAATCATTTCCTCCACGCTTCCAAGTGAAGCCAACTGTGGTTGAGCAGGACCTTTGACTTAATCTTCACATAGGCGGAACTGGTAAAAGATAGGAGCCAGGGGCTCCTCCCAAGCCCATGTGACCCCTGAGGAACAGATCCTCCAATGATCTTAAGAGTGAAAATAAATCGGTTTATCTGGTCCAACCGTATGGCCTTAAACACCCAAAAGGAAAGTATAACCAAAGATTAAAGGGGCCAAATATAATTTTATAAGAGCCTATATGTATAGCTAAAGGCTATATAACAAGCAACAATGCCAGACAGGCGATACCTTCTTTTCGAGTTGTTAGTCAGGGTGGCCAAAGGGATTCCCAGATAGTAACCCAGCATAGAACTGGGAAATTGAACAGCAGACCCCAACTTATCGAAAGGAATTTTGACAACTGATTACCACTAGATGAGGAACAGCTGACCCGCCTAAACAAAAACTCATTCAATTTTATGTGTTACAGGACTTATACTGAGTTCAGTATTGTATAACTGTATTAACTCAACTGTGAACCTAGAAACTTGTACCCACTTGTGAAAGAGATGTACTGTTGCTCTGGTGTATGTTACTGAATATGTTAAATCTGTAATAAAATGCTTCTTCTAATCATGTAGTTATTAAAAATTTTAAAAATAATGATTAAAAAATAATAATTAGTAGATGTGAAAAACATTACCATTGAAATCTACCTCATAACTTCTTATCCATGCTCAGATGCCAAGGAGCTCAGAAAGTGGTTAAATCAACTGTGACTAGTAATAATCAGACATATAGAGATTAGAAACGCATGTGCATCTTAGTGTCAATTGTATTAAAAATGAATTTTTCTGTATGAAACTATTTTAATAATGAAATGGAGATGTTTCTTAAAGTTTAAAACCTCATTTAGTTTTACATCTTACAGGGTTTATACTGAGTACAATATTGTATGACTGTATTAATTCAGCTGTAAACCTAAAAATTTACAGCCAATTTTGAAAGAGACACATCTTAGCTCTGGAAATTGTTATTGAATATGTCAATGCTGATGTAATGAGATGCCTCTTGTAATTATATGGTTGTTTAATAAATAATTTTTAAAAAATTCATTTACTGTGTGATTCTAATTATTAAAGATTTCCCTTGTATCGCGTTATCATCAGTGTAATTAGTAGGTCAGATATTCCACAGTGCTGACGAATATTGTAGAAGTACATTCTTACTTTACATATATCTCAATGAGGTATAATAGGAGAAAAATAAAGCCTTCAGCCAGCCTTCTGATTAGCTTTGTATGTGATGCTTCAAAATTTTTTCAAATCTTGAAATAGTGTGTTGTTATGATGTAGATGAGATATGAACTTTTCTTTGAAGCAGTATGACAAAGGCAGATGTGAAAGGAACAGAGGAGAGGAGAACTTACATGATATCTACATCAGAAGCAGGTTCTTGGGGGAATCATTTTAAGAAGCGTTGTATATGAAAATTAAGTATCTAGATTTTAAAAAATTGTTTTCATTTTATGTATATGAGTGTTTTACCTGAATGTACCTAAGTGCACCCATGTGTACAGTGCCCTCGGAGGCCAGAAGAGGGCATTGGCTCCCCTCTAACTGGAACTACCTGTGGCTGTTAGCTACCATGTGGGTGCTGAGAACCAAACCCAGATGTGCTGGGAACCAAACCCAGCTGTGCTGCAAGAGCATCCAATGGTCTGAACCACTGAACCACAGAGCTATCACTCTAGCCCCAAGTATCTGAGTATTGATTCAGTAAAACTATGTGCAGGTGCTGAGGCTGAAGCTCAGTGGTAGAGATATTGCCTAGTATGTACATTCACCTGTGTGTGATCACTATCACCACAAAGAACAAAACAAAACTATTTGCATACCATAGCTTTATATAATACTTGGAAAGTCTCATGCCAAGAGTAGATGACCCAGTTTGAAGACTGCTGTTCTATATCATTGAATTAATTTTAGACAATGTTACCTCCTCCACTAGTTACTAGAATAGAAGGAAACTACATCAACATACTAAAACAATTAAGGAAGAGCCACAGCAGATAGCATACACAGTGTTGAAAGACTAAAATCATTTTAAAAAAATATTTTATTAGTATTTTTATTTTATGCGGATGAGTGTATTCCCTGCATATAGGTAAGTGCACCCATGTCATACAATGCCTGTGAGGACAGAAGAGGCTGTCGGATCCCCTGGAACTGGAGTTACGGACAATTGTTAGCTGCCATGTGGGTGCTGGAATTTGAACCTGGGTCTTCTGCAAGAACAACCGGTGTTCTTAACCACTAAGCCATCCCTCCAGCCTCATAAAGACTAACATCTTTTACTCCAAAATCAGAAAGAAGTCTAGGATAAATACTTTTATTTCTGTTTAACATAGTACTGAACCAGGAGTGGTTTGAACATGCCTGTCAATCTTAGCACATGTGGAGCAAGAGGATCATGAGATCAAGGCTAGCCTGGGCTACATTGTGAAACTCTATGTTAAAAACCAACAACAGCAGCATAGTACCAGAAGTCCTATGCAGAGCAATTAGGCACAAAAATAGAATAAAATAAAAAGGATGAAATTTCCGAAGAAACAGTAAAAGTTCTCAGTTCACAGGTGGCATGATCTTGAAAGGAAATCCCAAAGATTACACACATGCAAAACAAACAAGTTCAGCAAAATTGCATTTTATAAAATCAAATATCAGGTACAGTTCTATATACTAACAATTAAAAAATAAAACAAAGAAATGAGTTAATCCCATTTACAATTGTATCAAAAAGAATGAACTTCACCAATGAGGTGAAAACTTAATATTTAGACACTATAAAACATTGCTGAAAGTTAAAGAAGGACAAATAAGTGGAACTTCATCCTATATTCCTGAATTAGAAGACTTAACATTGTTACCATCCAAAACAATCTACAAATTGAGGCTAAGTCCTATCAAAATTCCAATGATATTTCTTTACAGAAAACAAAACTAGCCCTAAAATTTATATGGCGTCTTCAGCCCTGGAAAGCCAAACCATCTTGAAAAAGGACATGGGTAGGAATATAACTCAGTTGGTAGAATGCTTGCCTCACTTGCATGAGGCCTGGGCTTTGATCCCCAGAACTGCAAAAAACTCGGAGGAGGGTATATCATCAGCAGTGTTGACTCTTGTGGTTTCAGTGTTATACTCTTGTGGCTCCTCCCTCTCTTTTTCTACTTCTTTCTGCATCTTCTCTGCTCTTACATGGCCTCCTTGTGGCCTGTAGATAAGGCCCAGAAATGATAACCAGACTCAGCTAAAGATTCCTATGGTATAACATTGTAAGGCATTCTGCTCTCTTGGCTGCAGTGTAGAGGATGTAGGTTGGTAAAAGCAGTTCAAGAGGATAGAAAGGTTAGGAAATGGCACTACCCAAAAAGCAAGGCCAAGAAAAGTCCCATAAGTATGCAGGTAAAAGATTTTCAAGTGGTTCTCTACTTTCACATGTTATAAATGGATCCCTGTAAGCATTCAGGACTCCAAAATATTGAAGAAGCCTCGTCTCAACTTTGCTCTCTCCTCATTGAAACTGAGTCTTAGCGCTAAAGCCTCGGATCTCATTGGTGATAGAAAGCATGAGCCACTAGAAAAATTGGTCTTACTAAGGTTTTAGATGCTTGCCTAATAGGCTTTTTATTCCTAGGAAGAGATTAAAAGAAACCTCTGTGAGATGCGGAATCTTGAGGAAAAAATGGCAAAACTTCAACTGGTAAGTTGATATACTGAATTGCTACTATTTTCAGTAGTACATTTATGCTGTATTTTACATTTTTTATTGAAGTATAATTCATATGTCACAATATTCACTCTTTTAGTGCACAGTACGATTTTGGTATAATCACAAAGTTGTACAACCATCATTCCTAATCCCAGAACATTTTCATCATTCTGGAAAGACACCTTATACCCTTGAATAGTCACTTCCATTACCCTCTGCTGAGCCCCTGACAGATATTCAAAACTGATTTCTCCATTCTGACTTTCATATAAATAGATCATATAGTGTGTGGTCCTTTATGTCAGGCTTGTTTCACTTAGCACATTTTCCAGGTTCATAAATACTGTAGCATGAATCAGAATTCCATTCCTTTTATAACGGTGTAATAAATGTTCTATTCTATGGATATGCAATTTCATATTTTTATAATCTTTACTCTTTCATATAGTTTATTTGTACATAAAATTCAATTTTGAGACCCTATTAGGAATTCTACCTTTTTGAAAGTACTTTATGACTTGGAATTTACTATAATAAGAAAATTAAAATTTGGTAAATACTTGATTTATTTGTTAATTGTTATTAAAAGTATTTTTAAAAAATATTTTATTTAAAAATTTTTATTTTTATTTATGTGTATGAGTGTATTATTTATGTGTATGAATGTATTACATGTATGTAAGTGCACCTGTGTCATGCAATGCCTGTGAAGGTCAGAAGGCGGCATCAGATCCCCTGGGACTGGAGTTACAGATGGTTGTTAGCTGCCATGTAGGTGCTGGAATCAAACCCCCCGAGTACTCTGGAAGAACAGCCAGTGCGCTTAACCTTTAAGCCGTTTCCCCAGCCTCAGTATTCCTTCTTTTAATTGCTTTGCTTGATGCAATTCAAACTATTTTCCTAGTCATATTGCTTGTTCTGATAGTTGTTTAGTGAGAAAGATATGAATCATCCTTGGAGGATCCTTGATCTAGCATACAGTATGGAATTAGCAGAAAGACTGTCTTACAGTTGAAAGTGGTGGTCACTCAAAAGATGGAGGGTTTTTTTCCTTCTTTTTTTGTAATAGCCCATTAAATTGGAAGATTAGAAACAAAGACTAATGGTAACTCACATTTTCTCCTTATGTATAGTCTTTATGTGGTCAAGCTGCTGTGTTCTGGTTACATGCCCTTTTTTACAGTATGGTAGCATGGAGTAGGTGTTCAAATACTTGTTGGTTTTTGTATGTACACTATAAACAGCATATGATAGTGGCTTCTTGTAAGATTCAGTTTAGCTAGTCTTTAATTCAACATACCTTAGATAACTAAACCTGCTAAAAGGTGTCACTCTTGAGTTTCATAAAATTCTCCTGTGGGGGAGTCAAAATATTAGTAGATGCTTTGTTGTCTTCTTTGAAATGTGAGCCATGTGAGGGCAAGAGATTTTTTTGCCATTGCTCATTATTTGTATGCATACTGAAGGTATTGAATATGGTTGATATGACTGTCTCAAATCTATGACTCAAGTTTCAGTAGTGTTAGCTAACATTAAATATTACTGTACTTTCTGGACTTTATTATATTTCCTGTTAGTGCCACATTTTATGTATTTCTGAAGTAATGATGATGATAATAAAAGCTAACATGTACTGAGCACTTACCATGGCAGAAATGGTGGCTCTTGAGTCATTGGATACTTCTACTGCTCTTTTAAGCACTGTCCTTAATGAATTTTGTTTGGGGCTGGAAAGTTGGCTCTGCGGTTAAGGGCATTGGCTGCCCTTGCAGAGGCCCTGGGTTTGGTTCCCAGCACTCACATGGCAACTGACACCATCTGTAACTCCAGTTCCAGGGGATCTGATGCCCTCTTCTGGCCTCTGTGGCCACCAGGCATATATGTGATACATTTACATACAGGCAGGCAAAACACATACTCACAAAAATAAAATAATTTTAAAAATTATAAATAAATTTTGTTTTATACATACATAATAATTAGAAAAAATAGGACAATATGCTAAACAAATTAGAAGAAAATGGAATCTAATAATTCTATCATCCACAAGAGAGCATTGTTGTCATGGAGTTTTATGGTACATTTTATCACAGTTGAGACTGTGTCTGAGTGATTAAACATATGTGTGCATGCACATATATATGTAAATTTCTGTCCTTACAAAAGTATCTAGTTTACCTATAAGTGCTGTAACATTTAATAATTAGAATACTTACAGTATTTAAATTTTGCAGGAATTAGACTTATGCCAGAAGGAAAAGGAGAGACTGAGTGAGGAACTCCTTCTAAAATCAGACCTGGAGACTGTTGTTCATCAGCTTGACTACGAAAAGCAGAGACTTACCAAAAAATTGGAAAGTTTTACAGTTATAGGTAAGATGTAAAATGTTAGTAACTTAAGGGGCTAAGAGATGGCTCTGTGGTTAAGGGCACTGGCTGCTCTTGTAGAGGACCCAGGTTCTACTCCCAGCACCCACATGGTGTCTGACAACTGTCTGTGATTCCAGTTCCAGGGGATCCAGTGTCTTCTTCTGACTTCTGTGGGCACTGCACAGCACAGCTGCAGCTGCATACATGCAGGCAATATACTCATACACATAAAAGTAATAAATAAAATATAAAAAATAAATAATAAAATGTTGGTAACTTAAAAAGTGATTTGCCTTTGATAGGTTGTTTTTATTAGTAGATGATCTCTCATTTGTTCATTTACTTTATTGAGCACTTACTATGGGCCAGACACTATACTAGGCACTGCAGATATAGTAGGACTCTCTCTTCCATATTTTGCCTGGTTGGTGTAAGAGATTCTACTTTGATGTTTTGCAATAGAAATATATCCTTCTTTGAGATAGACTGATGATGAAGACCATTCTAAAATACTAGAAAATTTAAGTAAAGAATCTTTTTAAGGAAATGTAGTTGTAGTGCCTTAAAATCCACATTTGGTGTTTCTGTTTGGTTAACCCATTAACCCTTAGCTCCTCAGTCCATTCCAGGTGCCTTCTGTCTGCCTCTCACCAGCAGAACTGCTCTCCTTATAGTCTTCGTTCACCACCACTGCACCAAGTGCAATTAGTGCTCTTTATTATTAGCTTGGTGATTCTTTTCTTTAGCATTTAACAATCACTTATTCCTTCTTACTTTCCTACTTTTTGGTCCTCTGAGCATTCTTTCTCAGGGTGAAATTGCTAGTTTATGAGTTTTATAATTTCACGAGTTAGCCAGTTCAATATAGTAAATTATACATCTGCTAAATGAATGCAAAAGGATGTGGCAGTAAGTCAGAGTACATCATGAAAATCATTCTTGAGATTTAGGTTGTGCCTGAGCCTTTAATTCGAGGCCATCTCTCCAGCCTATGAAAATTATTCTAACTCAGAGTTGTGAGCATTAATTACATTGGGATGAACTATATGAAGCTGCTAGTATTTGGTTAGTTTTGACTCATGAAAAAAAGTAATTTTATAGTTAAAAACTAGTAAGTGTAAGTTAGATACAGTGGTGCATGCCTGCAGTCCCAGCTGCATACAGTGGTGCATGCCTACAGTCCCAGCTGCATACAGTGGTGCATGCCTGCAGTCCCAGCAGCATACAGCGGTGCATGCCTGCAGTCTCAGCTGCATACAGTGGTGCATGCCTGCGGTCCCGGCTGCATTCAGTGGTGCATGCCTGCAGTCCCGGCTGCATTCAGTAGTGCATGCCTACAGTTCCAGCCACTTGAGAGACACAAGGACCTCTTGAGCCCAGGAGTTTGAGACAGTCTAGGCAGGATAGAGAGCTCCTGTCTCAGAACTCAAAGACAGAAAATGAATAATTCCGTTTATTGGAAGAAAGATGTGAGTTGTTTGTATGTCTCTTTTTGTATGTACTAAGTTCAACTTCAGTTGAAGTCATGCTTATGTTAAATGTGTGCATATGGTTGCTTACAGGTACAGTTTTCTTTTAGTGTCATTTTCAGGTCCCTAGGAACTGTATTGCTGTATTTTATTGCATTAAATACTGTTCTGCCCATGATAGTGCCAGAGCAGGGTGACTTTCACTTGTTGGGCACTATTTATTTCAACTTTAATGTTTTGCTTTTGTTTTTCTTTCTCTTTCTCTCACTGTTTACCTCTGATATGTCTTGTGGTTGATACACAAAACAGCTCATGATGTCTGGTAGCTTTTATTCTGGAATTGTTTATTTACTTGAGTTCTCCACACTGTATATACAACATTGTTTGAAGCTTTAGCCATTTGAATTGACAGAAAGAGAACTTACTTTGGAAGTTGAGAGGATGAGGCTAGAACATGGAATCAAACGTCGAGACAAGTCCCCTTCTCGTTTAGACACATTTCTGAAAAGTATAGAAGCAGAACGCGATTACTACAAGAAAGAGCTAGAAAGACTCCAGCATGTAATACGGCGAAGATCTTGCTCTACAAATTATTGTGCACGTGAAAAAATCCCAATATTTAAATCACCAGAAAAGGTAATATCCTTTCATAAGAATAACAAGTTTGTTAGAAAACTTTTTTGCTTTATTGCTTTATTAAATGCAACTTTTAGACTTGCTTTTAAAAAGTCCTAATCTTGGGCTGGAGAGATGGCTCAGCAGAGCACAGGCTACTCTTGCAAAGGACCTGGGTTCGGTTCCCAGCACCCACATGGTGGCTAACAACCAAGTATAACTCCAATTCCAGGGGATCTGACACCCTCTTCTGACCTCCATCGGCACTGCATGACATGGGTGCACCTACCTACATGCAAGCTATACACTCATAAAAATAGTAATAATAAAAAAGTCCTAATCTTGATTTTTCTTTTCTTCTATAACCTGCAGTGTAGAAAGCCCTGCATTATTAGGAAAGCTATTCAACTACAAAGTATAGGGTTTTTTTTGTTTGTTTGGTTTGTTTTTGTTTTTTTATTTCTTTCCTTTTGGTCTTTTTGAGACAGGGACTCCCTGTAGTCCCAGCTGGCCTGGAATTTGCTATGTAGACCATGCTGGCCTTGAACTCATGGAGATCTGTTTGCCTCTGCCTCCCGAGTGCTGGGATTAAAGGCATGTGCCACTACGCCCGGCTCAAAGTATAGCATTTTGATTCCTATAAATTAAGATTGAATAGCTGAGCCACAGGAGAGGCGTGTAGGTGTTCACAAACTAGAACTCAGGGACTTAGACTGCTAGGCATTTCCATTCTGTAATAGTTGCAGTTTCCCTCCGCTGTCAGAGTAGCTCTGTCCGCATTGCAGACAACATGGTTTTGTGTTATTCCCAGCGTTTTTTGAAAGGGTCAGGAATGTGTGTTACTTTTTCCTGACCATGTGTCTTCTTAGCACTTACTTCTTTGCTGTGGGAGATGGGTACAATTAGAAGTGTGTGCTGAGCAGATTATCCTGTTAGTCTACTTTAATCACATTGTAAGCTGATAATCTAAAAGGGTTCACTTGGACAAGGTGGTAACCAAGCATTAAGGTGGCTGGGTACAAGGATCGAGTCAACCTGGGTAGTATAGTGAGACCCCGTCTCAAAAAAATTAATTTTGTATATATCACTTTCTTATTTTCCTTCCTTTTTTTAAAAAGTAGTATGTGTGTGCAGTCTTTTTGAGACAGTGTCTCACTGTAGCGCCAGCTGGCCTGGACACTATATGAACCAAACTGGCCTCAATCTCACAGAGATAGTCTGTCCCTGCCTCCTGAGTGCTGGGATTAAAGGCCTGCTCCAGTATGCCTGGCTTTTTTTCTTTCTTTCTTTTTTTCTTTCTTTCTTTCTTTCTTTCTTTCTTTCTTTCTTTCTTTCTTATCTTGTGCATGCTAAGTAAATGTTCTCTACCTTTAATCTCATTGGCTGCAGTTTGTTAGTATAAACATTTTGCTATTTAGCCCTCATAAGCAGAATGAATTGGTCTGGAAAATACAGTGCAAGTTCATTTATGTTATTAAGGGTTTTTTTTTTAAATTTTGTTTTGTTTTTTGTTTTTGAGACAAGTCTCTCTGTAGCCACAGCTGGCCTGGAACTCACTATGTAGACCAGGCTGGACTGGATCTCACAGAGATCTGCTTGCCTCTATCTTCTGAGTGGTGCGATTAAAGATGTGTCCCACCATATCTGGCCTGAACTGATCTTTTTTACTATGTAGAAGAATCTCTTACAAAATGTATTTATTAAGTAATGTTAAGTAGATAACAATCTTAAAGCTTTTTACCTAATATTTGATTCAGTTGCTTGGTTCACAATTGGAAGACAAATGAGAGAGACTGGTAATGAACTGGTGCGATTAGATGTTTTCTTTATTCAGCTTCTTTGCTTTTTTCAGTTGTTTTGTTACCTGACATAAACAAAGAATTCATTTTGTGTAGTTCAAAAATGTAGGACATTCACGCTGTCTTAAAGCACCAGTACTAAGTTGTAGGCATGGTAGGCGACTATGGGTAGTAAGTACATGAGTAAAATGAGTGGATGTAAGACAGTTGTGAGTACTAGAAACTGGGTCATGCACTCCCCACCTGGAATTAGGAAGTACAAGCATGTGTAGTGCTTCCTTGGCAGACAACAAAGACTTCTGTAAAGCTGGATCTGGTGCTGACTGTGAGTTTTCAACTACCTGCTTCATGGAATACTGTTAGGTACAGTTTCTTGGGATTGTAGTAACTTGGGGAAAAAAAGGGACATTTTTAATATTAATGATCTTCATCAGTCAGGCCTTGTTGACTTTCTGTTTTTGGTGGGAGCGTATCTCCTTCCACCTCATATGTACTGCAGTGTAGTGCTTTAAAAGTGGAGGGCTGATACAAGTTCCAGCTTCTTAAAGTGGCTTATGATCTTGGAGAAACTGACTTTATGCAACTCTAACCCTGTTTCTTCATGTGTGAATCAGGAAAAAATAACTACAACTTTTTAGGAAGACTAAATGAGATAATTTGTACAACAGTCCTCTTGCAATAACATCTAGTTCCCAGTAAATGGTTCATTTCTTTATTACTTGCTGGTTCAAAGCAAATCTAATCTAGGTAGAAAGATTTGAATGGACTGATGTATACTATCCACTTTGAATGAGTCACAGACCACAGAGGTAAAGAAGAGTGTGATGGCTTACACATGTAATCTAGTACTCAGGAGGCAGAGGCAAGAAGATGACTGCAAATTCCTGACCAGCCTGATCTGCAAAGCAGTTTCCAGTAAAGCTAGGGCTGTATAGTGAGGCCTTGTCTAAAAAAAGAGGGGGACCTAGAGAGATGACTCAGAGGTTAAGAGCACTGACTGCTCTTACAGAGGACCCAGGTTTGATTCCCAGCACCCACATAGTGGCTAACAAACTGTCTATAACGTTAGTTCCAGGGGATCGGGTGCCTTCTTCTGACCTCCATGGGCTTTGTACAACACAGGTGCACTCACACACGTGTATTCAATACACTCATGCACATGAAATAAAAATAAACAAAAAACCAAAACAACCCACCCAAACAGGAAGTGATGGTATAGCCTTCAGCATTGTGTATGTGTGCTTGCTTGTATGTTGAGAATAATGGAGTGGTGAAGAGGAGTTGTTATCTATTAACCTAATATATCTGCAGATAAGGTATATTTAGAGAATGGAGTTTCTGTTCAAGCCAGTCAGCCAGGAAATGTACAGGTACCATACTAGGTACTGACCATGTAATGGACAAGAGCAGACATCTGCGGTGTCACTCAAAGAACTTAAATTTGCTGAGTATACATTTATGAACATGTAAAATTTGAGGGGGTGTGCTCTAACGTTGAACTATATCTTCAGCTCCTAGATAATGCTTAATCTCATTTATTTTTGTTAATGGAGAATGTACAGGAACAATTCAGAACACTTGGATTTTACATAGAAGATCTAAATTACATGGAGACTCTAGAAGAGCTTCTTCTAGAAAGTGACATTCAGGCTGAGGCATAAACAGTAATGAAAATAGACACGAATCTTTTTTCATTGAGCTTCTTTTCTAGGATCTATATAGACTACATGCCTTCTATAAGATTTTTTTTTTTCAGTCTTTTTGAGACAGGATCTCCCTGTAGCCCCAGCTGACCTGGAACTTGCTATGTAGACCAGTCTAGCCTTGAACTCATAGAGATCCACCTGCATCTCCCTCCCAAGTGCTGGGACTAAAGGTGTGTGCCACCACTCCCAGCAGGATTTTTTTTTTTAAATACGGAAATAAGCTACAGACTTTGCCTTTATGGTTTTAAGCCTTGATTAAATCTTGAAGTCCTGATCTCCTTTGACCTGTAAAACATCTTGTTCTTAAATGTAGCCACATAGCTAATCTTGTCACATTATTCTTGTTTAACCATTTGGCACTTTGTCATTAACATACTGTAAATTTACCATCTTTATTTTCATGATGGCAGTGAAGGTAGTAATCTTTTGAATCATACTGTAAGAGTAGGCAAATTCTGGGTTTAGAAATGTTGGTAGTTTCTTAGTTGATGAGCATCTTTAATATATACTTACGTTGTTGCAGTAAAAAACCTCATGTGGGTATGAAGCTGGGACAGTTGGGGTTCTTGTACCTGGGAAGTCAGTCTTAATAGTCAGTCATAAACAGGCACACACATTCCTTTCTGGCCTTTCCTGGCAGTGGGTTATGAAGTAATGGTTCATAGATCATTGAAGAAGAGGGGGTGGAAAGATTTTAAGAGCCAGGGTTGGTACATGATCATAAGGAAACACTTTTGGCTTCTGGGAACTTGCTCATATGAACTTACAGCAATAGTATCAGCATGCACAAGACCCATGCAGACTCAATCAAACAAAAACCCAGGTCCCAACCTTAGCAGGCCCCAACCTTAGCTGAAGAACTATTAGCAACTGATTACTGCCAGGTGAGGGAGAGCTGATCTTCTTTAAGGGAGAGACTCTAGATAAACTGACTAAACTCCAGTGGATGAACTTGCACTAAGGGACATCAGGGTACAAAAACTTGACTAGGTAGGCTTTTTACATTTATGACAGAATGCATGAAATATGGTGGGGAAAAGCTATGGGGGTATGGTTGGAGGAGGGAGTCTAAAGATGATTAAGATGTTTTGTATGGAGGCTGGAGAGATGGCTCAGTGGTTAAGAGCACTGATTGCTCTTGTAGAGGACCTAGGTTCAATTCTCAACACCCACATGGCAGCTAACAACTATCTGTAACCCGAGTTCCAGGGGATCCGATGCCCTCTTCCGACCTCCTTGGGCACTGCACAACTCGGGTGCACTTAGACACATGCAGGCAATACACTCATACACATAAAAATAATAAATTTAAAAAAAAGTTTTGTATCAAGTGCACAAAAATTCTATAAAATATATACATTGAAAAAAAATAATGGGTTCTTAAAACCATGAGTCAGAATCACTTGATAAAAATATCCTACCCCAAAAGATTCTGATTAATGCTGGGGTGTGCCGCATTTGTGTGTATAACTAGTTCCTAAGTGCTGCTGCTACTTCTGGTCTAGAGGTTGTACTCTAAGGACCACTCATGTGTAGTATAAACAGCTGAAGGAGGCTGGCTTCAGGCATCATGTGTGATCTGATCAGGTGTTATTACTGGCAGCTGGGTGTCTTCCAAAAAACCCCGAAAATTTGCACCAGTACTATTACTTTCATCTGCCTCATTATGGAATTTAGTTCTCTAGTTACATTAAAAGAACTTCTGTTCTTTTTTTCTGTTAGCCTCGTTCAATTTTATGCCCAGCATCTTTGTAACAACCCTGCAGTGATAATTACAACAAATGATAACTTCTGTCTTTTAATTGTTTCAGGGTGGTTTCAATTCAGATATTCATCTGGTCACAAGAGAAAGAGATGAACTTCAGCGCATGCTAGAAAGATTTGAAAAATATATGGAAGATATACAGTCCAATGTTAAATTACTGACAGCAGAAAGAGATAAACTAAGTGTCTTATATAATGAAGTAAGAGATTTATTATAATCAATCCAAGAAGTTATTTAGAACCAGTTCACAATGAAACTAATTTGTATCCTAAAAATTTCTATAACATATAGACTTTATAATATTCTTCCATAATTAGAATTAGTAGTAGAAGTTTCTCCTTTCTTTTTGTTCTCAGCCTATATTTCTCTTTTTTCATATTTGTTCTCCCTCTTTTCTAACTTATCAATGTGTCAGGTTAAATGGAAATAGTCTCTTTATTCTAAAATTACCCAAACAGATCTTAGCTGACTCTGAGCCAAATTCATCCTTGGGTTTTAGACAAGCCCCCAACATGTCTGAATCCTAGGGATGAACTTGAGTATGTACCACTGTTGGAAGTATTGGCTCTTAGAAAGTTAGCCTCAAGGGCTGGGGAGATGGCTCAGTTGATAGAGTTCCTGTAGTATAAATATTGAGGACCTGAGGGCAGATCCCCAGAACCCACCTCAAAGCATGGTGATGCTCATCTGTTTCCTTAGTGCTGTGGGGTGGGGCAGAGACAGCTAGATCCCCGGAGTTCTCAAAGAGCTCAGGTTCTGTGAAGGACACTGTCCAAAGAACAAAGTGGAGAATGATAAAGGAAGACACATAATGTCAACACAGCTTGCATGCACACACACACAAAATTAACCTCTAGTAAAAACCTCCAGAAAAGAGAGAAGTGCTATAGCTGGCCCCAAGACCTTTGCTTGCCAGAAAGTAAGGTGACTGTACATCTTGGAGACTGTTGGTGAAATTTGTTGCCATACCCATCTCCTGTGAAATTCTGTTGCTATTTTGACAGGAGGAGAAACATATGAGTTAAAGGAGTCATTTTCTTATATAGCTTTTTAAGGATTTGTAGTACAAATTGTACTTCTGGAGTTCCCCCACAGTGGGCTTAGCTATCCCTGAGTCTGTTAATTCTTCTCCGTCCCTCTGCTTTACTTTCCAACATTCTGTAGATGTACACCTTCTCCATCTCCTTGTCTTTTGGGCTTTATGATTAAATTTTAATCCTTTTACTCCTGTTTTGGGGGGATTTGAGAAGAGAGTGAAAGTAATACATGTTCAGAATACCCCACCACACCCTTTTTAAACAGGGAATATATTGAAAGTGTTTCTATCTTTAATCCTTTAAGGCTCAGGAAGAGTTATCTGCACTAAGGCAGGAATCCACATGTGCTGCAGTCCCCAGCAATCTTGTTAGTTGTGTGGAAAAGGAAAAGGAACTTGCATTATCTGACCTAAGAAGAATTATGGCAGAAAAGGAAGCTTTAAGAGAAAAGTTAAAAGTAAGTAATACTTTTTGAAAAGTAATTTATTAAGAAAGATTTTATAACTTCATTTTCCTATGAAATTACTATTTAGAGTATAGCTAGTTTGGGGCTTGCATAACAGCATGCTGCCCAAACTGAACTACCTTATTTGTATGTGACCTAGAGCTAGGAATGGTCTCTGTATTTTTACATTGTTAAAAACATTTCGGGATTGGGGATTTAGCTCAGTGGTGGAGTGCTTGCCTAGCAAGCGTAAGGCCTTGGGTTCAGTCCTCAGCTCCGGGGGAAAAAAAACATTTCAAGAGAAGAACATCTCATTGTAGAACTTTACTATTGCTCATAGCTGGCTTTTGTGTCACAGTGGCAGAGTTGAGAAGTTGTAGCAAATATTTGGCACACAAAACCAAAATATTTGCTACCTAGTTCTTTACAGAAATAGTTTGCAGGGGCTGGAGAGGTGGCTCAGTGTTAAGAGCACTGGTTTCTCTTTCAGAGGACCCGGGTTTGAGTCCCAGCACTTACATGGAGACTAACAACTGTTTGTAACTCCAATTCCAGAGGATCCAACACCCTCTTTTGACCTCCATGGACATAGCATGACATGGGTGCACTTATATACATGTAGGCAAAACATTCATACACATAAAATAAAATATTTTTAAATTTTTTAGCCAGGCATGGTGGCACATGCCTTTAATCCCAGCACTGGTGAGGCAGAGGCAGGCAGATCTCTGTGAGTTCAATGCCAGCCTCTGCCTCCCAAGTGTTGGGATTAAAGGCGTGTATCATTTTGCCCAGCCCTCTTTTGCTTTCTTTATTTTATTTTTAGTTTGTGTATGTGTTTTGCCTGTATGGAAGTACACATGCATGCAGTGCCTGCAGAGGCCAGAAGAAGGCACTGGATCCCCTATAAGTGGATTTACAGACAGTTAGCAACTGTGTACTGGGAACTGAACGCGAGTCCTCTGGTAGAACAGCAGGTGCTTTTAATTGTTGCACCGTTTCTCCAGCCCCTCTCTTTTGCTCTTTTGCTTTTTTTTTTTTTTTTTTTTTTTTTTTTTTTTTTGGTCTTTTTGAGACAGCGTCTCCCTGTAGCCCTACCTGGCTCTTTTTTACTTTCTTTTTTTTTTTTTTCATGGGAAACCAGCTCATGTTTAATTGTGATATTTCAAAATTGTACAGCTTTGACATTTGTCCTCCCACCCCACATTTAGTCTCTTAAAATGACAGGAAAACAACATCACTCACAGGTTTAATAGGTTTAATAAGTTTACCCTTTCAGTTCCTATTTGCAGCACCCAATACTCCTTTGAAATACCAATCAGACCGGCAGTGACCAACAGTGAATTCTCATCTTCCAGAGTTGGAATGTTCAGATTCTTTTGAGCATTCTGTATTGCAGTGGCACTTGTCCAGAACTGGTACCTCCCCGTAGTTGGAGAAACTTTAAATGTACCAGTGAAAAAAAGCTTTTTCCCCCTCAAGGGGAAAGAAAGAAAATTACTCTTCAAAACCCAGCCAGTCTGGCTGTGAGGTCTATCCTGTCCCATCTCTTCTGTTTTTCGTTTGTTTTTTTTTTCCCCCCTCCTTTTTTTGCAGCAGAGCAAGAGAGACCAAAACATAACCTGAGTTAAAGAAAACAAGACAGTGATGGCTATAAAGGGAGTGACCCAGAGCAATTGGGTTGTTCTTTACCTCCCACATTCAGTGTATGTGCTTCACAGAAAAACAACAAATTCACAAAATACAACAGTTAGAATTACAAAATCCATTCATCCAGGGTGCTGGAAGGCAGGAAGGAGAAGTAGAAGGGTAAATGGCACAGGGAAGGAAAAAAAGTACTCAAATCAGTCCAGCACAGGAGCTGGCAAATGCTAGAAAACAGCTGGAAAACCTGCGGTCCTTTCAGACCCATGGTGGTGGTGGTAAAAAGCCACATACTGGTGTTAGGAAGATTCTGCCTTACGTGCACCAGAGACAAAAATTCCAATTCCTCAATGTGAAGGAAGTATCAGAGGGCCCTGGCAGGGGAGAACAGAGAAAAGAGCTGCCACATCGTCCAGCCAATCCTACCTATCCCCTTTGGACAGCAAAGAACTCAGTGGCCTGTAGCAGCATTCAGTTTGGCAGGAGACGGATGGTGGTAAAGGGAATTTCTCTTCAGAGGTTGAGCTGCTCAGGGCTGACTACAGATAGACTGTCTTGTGGAAGAGTCTGTTGCTTAAGAAGACCACCAAGGAGAAGAGGCGCAGCTGAAAAAGGTAGCTTTTCAGGAGTCTTTGCTTCATTGGTGCTGATGATGAATAAAGGAAGAGGACAGAAAAGAGACAGCCACTGATAATTAGGAGGATTGCATTGCTGTGAGAAAAGCCAAGGGCAAGCCAAATCCAAAAGTAGGCCAATTCCTTTCTATGTTTGACAATCGCTGGTGCATCTCAATTCCTTTATTGAACTTATACTCAAAGCAGTACAGTGAGTAGAGAAGTGACATATGCAGCAGACTAACCAGCTGACCAAGATGGATGGGAAAGACTCACAGACATCCCCTGAATAAGGAAAAGAGCCTGTAGCAATAGGTTGAAGAGCATGTCAGCAATTATTTTGCTGACACTGGCGAATGGATGAGGCTTCCTCCCTGATACCTCAAATGACAGGTCAGCAATATCTTGAAACCAAATGGCATTCACAACTTTGCTAAGCACAAACAGGCGGAGCACCCAAAGGGCACTGAAAATTGATGTGAGGAAGAATTCCAACCATGACCAAACATCTCTGTGCAGTGATGGATCACCAATAATTCGCGCTGTTAGTGACTGAAGCACAGAACACTCGATGAAACAAGAGGAGACTGAACCAGAATACTCCACCATTCCAAGCATAACACTGGAAAATTCTACTAACAATACGTGGCTCACTCTCTTGCTGCCTCTCTCTACTCTGGGCTCTCCTCTGGGCCAGGACACTGTTTGCCCTTCTTTGAGCTATTCCTCTCTCTTCTGCTGGATTCGAGCATCTAGCTTTGGGATGGTACACGTGCCTCAGGTGGAGTCTTTGATTCCCTTGTCTAGGTCCTGGAGAAAGGTTTTGACACTGTCAGCCATCTCTTCACAACCCAGACTATCAATTACAGAGAGGAGAGGGAAGTGCCCCAAAATCTCTCATCATGGAGGGCCCCACAGCCCCGCCGCTAGGTTCCGGCCCGGGACCTAGTCCACCAAGGCTCTGCTCACCTGCTCCATGGCCCAACTGCTCACTCCACCCCAGCGCTCCCAAGACTGGGCTGTGCCCACACTGGGCATGCCCGGGCCACACGGGGGCCGCTGGGAAGTCTGGCAGCCACTGAGCCCGGCCGCCAGGCAGGGGCGGAGCGGGGGTAGTCTTTTTGGCTTTCTTAATGGTGGCTTTGAAGCACAAAAGTTTTTAGTTTGGGTGAAGTCCAATTTATCTGGCTTGGTTTTGTTTTGTTTTTTGGGCTTTTTTTCTTTGCTTGTGCTTTTGGGGTCTTATCTAGGGGGGTGTTTTTTATATTTCCTTTTACAATCTCCCCCAAACAAATCTGTTAATATATAAAGCATTTAAATACTTAAAGTACGTTATAAGTACTAAGTATTGTTAAAGTCATAGTTTACTTGCAATTAATATTATGAAATTCAGACTTTGAAAGTAGCAACTAAGATTAGGAACGATAATAAGTAATTTAAGGGTAGTCTTTATGCCACCAATTTTCAGTTAAAATTTTACATCCAAAATGTACTTTAAGAATGCTTTTGGAGCCAGGTGTGGTGGTGCATGCCTTTAATGCCGGCACTCAAGAGGCAGAGGCAGAGGCAGGTGGATCTCTGAATTCCAGGCCAGCCTGGTCCACATAGTGAGTTCCAAGTCAGCTGGGGCTACAGGGAGATCCTGTTGCAAAAAGACCAAAAA